CATTCAAATTGTTGTCACTAAATTAAAGCATCATTCACATCATTAATCATTTAGATACATCATCATCAACACATTTATACACATACAATTCAAAATTTCAAGGTAGTATTCTTACCCTCATGGTATGCGTTATTCATATGGTATTCTTACCCCCATGATAGGTTATAATCAAGTGGTTTTTTTACCCTCACGATGGGTTATAATCAACTGGTATTTTACCCCCATGATGGGTTATAATCAAGTGGTATTCTTGCCCCTAATTATTCCAAAATTGAGGTTAGTACCTAGCTACCTAAATTTGAGGATGAATTTTTTTAAGGTAGAGCAATTGTGAACCCCCACCTTTTGATTTAAGATTAGATTTGTAACCTAACTTGGTGACCTATTAATTTAATGTCTTAAAACATGATTATGGAACCATTCTGATATAGAAAATTCATGTTTTGATAAGCATACATGTTTATATGAGAGTTGGTACATTTATGGGGTCAAATGGGATGGTTTTGGACTTAAAAACAACATTCTAGATAAAATGTATCAATACATGTTTATCATGTATAGATACAACAAACCTAGAATGGGATTTTGATGAACACGTATCGATACATGTTCATCACGTATCAATACATGAAACCTAGGGCAAAATGTATCGATACATTACCTTTATCAATCAATACATTAAGCATAGACTTGAAAAAAAAATAAGGTTATTTCAATCTTTTGTCACTTATTTAAAAACCCTAAAACCTCATATATTACCTGATTTGGCTGAAAAAGTAGTTTTCAAGAAACAGTGGTTTTCCTTGAAAACCCAACCACCCTCTTTTTCTTTTCCCTCAACTCTCATAATTAACAATAATGATAGATTTGAAGCATTGAAAGTCATCTTCAAGCTTGGAATTTGATTGTAAGAATTTTGGAAGGTAAAGTTTTTTGTTTTAAACCTTTGAAACTAAGGTTTCGATTTTCTAGAATTTATGGATTCTTAGAAATTGCTTTGTTAATGAAAAATTTAGGTTTTAAGTTGATTTTTGAACTCTCAAGTTCACCAAGGTAAATTTGTCTTAACTTTAGCTAGAAGTATATTCAAATCCTTTAGTTAGAGTTAGATTAGCTACTGATTTGTTTGTGGAATAATAGAGGGTTATTAGTCTAAGATATGTTACAGAACTAAGTACTAATGAAAGAAAACTTCATGATAGGTATTGTGGAGAAAGTTTGAATTTTTAGAGAACCTAATGTTCAATGAAAGGTGTTAGAAAGCAAGGCACGCTTCTTTAAGGTGCGTAGATGTGGCGTTTTTAATTATTTTAGTATAATTAAGCATCTTATTCTACAACTTTGCATATGAATGAATTTCAATGTATTTGTGTTATGAACAAAGGTTTACAAATATGTTTAGATGAAAATTATAGGCTGAGTATATATAGTCTACTATGTATTAGTTTTGAGCATGAGGAACAAGCTTTTCAAAGTTTTTTGTCATCGTAAACATCACATTTATCTATGATTGATGTATGATTGATGGTTTTAAATGTTAATCTGAGAAAAGACTTTTCCTTAGTGAGTCTATGGTATTTATGGATATTTAACTCATAGTTGTTGATATGGTTGATTGACCCCGATTATATTATGACTCAACCTCTTGATATGTTGGTGATTGGACTCACCCCTTTATTTGATTGAATTTGAATATTGAATTGTTGTATTGTGATTAGTGAATCCTATTAGGAAAAGGACTAGCAGCTAGCATAGGTATTCACTAGCCATTGTGCACAATGAGTTACAACTTGAGCCGGTAAAGGAAATTTTTCGAGACTTGCTGGATATTGGTAGCTAAAAGAGTTTTACCTTTCTTATGAATGGTTGTTGGCTATTAGCAATGGACTATTCTAACAAATGTGACAACACTTGGTGATTTCGTTGTCTTTAAGTTAGTGCTCCATGATTTGATTGTTTTGATGTTTAATGTGTTAGATTTAGACTACAAATATTGTTTGATATATTGAATACGTATCATGGATGTTGCCATTTGATGATTGAATGATGATTATTTGACTATTGATGAAATATAGTCTTGGATAAGATTCTAATGATGAGTGCTAGGCTGAAAAAATCGTCTATGCCAAATCTATTGATACATGGTATTGAAGTATCAATAGAAAAAACCCAAAATCGAAGGATTAAATTCTGCTGTAAATCTATTGATACATTGGAGCAACGTATAAATAGATGGGACAATATATTGATACATCGGACTAATGCCCATTTATCAATACATTGCTCCAATGTATTAATAACTCAAGCTTATTTTGAAACTTGAAAATTTTCAAAAGGTTTTCTAAAATGGAAAATGAATTTGTTTTAGAACAAAATCCGTGAAAACCTCAATTTATGTTTCAAACGCTTTTAAACTGATTGTTTAACTCTTTTAACCAAACTTCTTGAATTGGTTTTCAAACATCCAATGTTATTTTAAATTCTTATGAACTATTTTACAAACTTTGTTTTGTAAAAATATTTCATTTATCCTTGCATTGTTTAAAAGATATAGGACATAAAGTTACGGTACATAGATGTTTCTTGAGTCGTTTGAAAGACAACAGACTTGGGAACTATGGGATTATTTAGTCTATGATTAGTTTGGAAGATAACGGACTTGGAGACCATGTGGATATTCGAATTGCTTGGTTAAGCAAGATTGATTTTTGTTTTTGCTTGGAAAGGCGGGTGCGGATTCATAGTTATGCTTGATAAGGCGGGTTATGCAAAACATTTAATAAATGTTTATTTGCATATTTCTGAAAGTGTATTTTGTTAAATACTCTTCCTTATTAGTTTGTTTTCCCTCATCATATCTATTCATGGAGTTATTTATAACTCACACATGTAAGTGCCCTTATTATTTAGATTAGTAGATTGCTTGGCTTGTTGTCCTTTGGAGGGAGCCATTTCTTCAATCAGTTTTGGTAGGTAGTCATATGGCATTTAGTAGGCATTGACCTTTTACTTCGAGTCATACTCCACTGGGTTTTAGTTTGGTCTAGTCTTTTATATTTGACTATTATGGATTATGACTTGTTTATATCACGTATTAAATGATATTATGGATGTCTAGCATGAGTTGGCTAATGGATTGTATTTGTCACAAGATGGCCTGTATGTTAATTTTGTTATATATGTTGCTTTCGCATTATGGGCACATGAGTGTGCTGGATTGATATTATATTTTTTTTATATAATATATTCATGTTTATACTTGTTTCAAGTGATTCCATGGTGATGAGTCCCATTAGGCATTTATGAGTATGTGGTTCACTTATTATATTAGGCTTGCATGAGTTAAGAAAGTAACTCCCATAAATACTTTTGCATCAGTCATGTTCCAGATTTTGGTCGTGACATGGCACTACCACGTCACCTTAACATGTTGGCATGCCAATGCCACGTCACTCTTTAGGTTGAGGTTGGCATGTGGCACCTTTAGAGGCTACCACGTCACTATTTTCTTTTCCAAAACATGATGTGCTCTTCTTAAGATTCGAACTCAAGACCTCTAGCCAGCATACCAAGGTCGTTACTTTACCATCATGCTTAAGCCCTTGCTTTTAAATGTTTCTTGCTTTTGTTTCTTTGTTCTTTTCTTATCTTTTTTTCTTTCTTATTTTTTCCTCTTTTTTTCTCTTTTTCCTCCAACCATCTCCTAGAGGTAAAGAGAGAAAGGAACAAAAAAAAAAAGAAAAAGATGCTTTTATAGCTAGGGCTTTAGAGAGTGTAAGAAGGCTCCAAAATAATATGGTTTTGAAAAAAAGAAAAAAAAAGAAAAACGAGAAAAAAAGATTCAAAAGTAAAAAGTAATTAAAAGCAAGGGTTTAAGCATGGTGGTAAAGACCTTGGTGTGCTAGAAGTCTAGGGTTTGAATCTCAATAAGAGCACATCATATTTTAAAGAATAAGAGACAAACGTGGTAGCCTCCTAACTTGCCACGTGGCAACTCAAACTTATAGCATCTGGTGCTACGTTAATGTCATGTCAGCATCGTAATGGTTAATTTGGACTCAAAATGTTAGAGAGACTAAATTGAAGCAATTCACAAACCTAAGAGACTAACATCACCTTGACATGCTGACATGGCTTGCCACATTAGCAACCTTAACCAATCGTTACAATGTTGACTCAACATCTGGTGCTACTTCATCATCATGCTAGCACTGTAATGGCTAATGAGACTAAATTGAAGCAATTCACAAAACTAAGAGACTAAATTGTCCTGATTTTGTATAAGGGGACTAAATTGAAGAAAACACTTAAGTACAAGGACCATTTGGTTTTTGTTTTGGATAATTTACTAAATTTTGTTAAAACCCTTAAATCAAGGTTAAGAAGCATATATGATAATAATATAGACTTAGTTTAATGCTTTTTATGTTTTTTTTTTTCAAATCTCTAAGGAAAATATTTTTAGACACGTGGTAAGGTAGAAAGATAAACACACAATTCTTAAGTGACAAGTTTTATTGCCACATCAATTACTACGTGAGATTGATGTTACTAAAATAACACGTCAACGTGTCATGTAACAGATGATATGGCATAAAATTACCAATTGTGCCATTGATCAATAGTGAACAATTAGTGAAATGAATTTATTTGATACAAAATAAAAACTTAGAGAGTTTAACTAAACCAAATAAAAGAATATGAATTTAGATTCAATTGATTTTTTTTATATAATTTAAGGATTTATTTATATATTTAGTCTTTTAGTATATTATTTTAATTATTTTTAAAATTTTTTGATAAAATACACTTGAATATTTGACTCATTAATTGTTAAAAGGGAAAAAAAAATATTTAGTGAAAGGAAAGTTGACTTCACCTTGCATTGCGTGCTTAAAAGGGGAAAAAAACCAATAGAACACAAATGGTATATGGTTGTTTTAGTTTTTTGGTTTTTATTTTAAAGAGCAAAAAGAAAACTACAAAAGCGCTAGCCTTAACCGACGCGACCCAATAGCTTATCTTTCGTGCACCCACTCTCCATCTCTCCCCAGAGAGAGAAAAATGGCGGCTTTCACTATGCTAACGCCATGGCAAGCCACCAGCTTGCATTATTATAATATTAACATTTGCCATTATCAAAACCAAAATGTTTATAATAATGCTAAAACTATCCATAAGGCTAAGTCCTCGTCCTCCTTGTTAAGTTATCATCCTTCCCCTGCGTTCTCTTCTCTTTCTACACTAGCCAAATCAAATATGCCATCAACCAATTTCTCGACTTCAGGTATTTTTCTCTCTTTTTTGACATCTACAATCAATTTTTATCTATTTATTGTTGTTTATCTATTCTTTTATTTAAGTTATTTCTTGTGGTTTATATTTTTTTTTACCTGCTTCTATTGTTCTCTGTCTGATAGCAATCGGAAAAGTTTTGGATAAGACAGATAAGAGAAAAAAAAAATGAAATTGAAGCTTTTAAAACCTTACTCTATTTTTTCTTAATGGGTATTCAAAATAATTTGAAAGCTTGACTCAGAATTTAATCTTTCAATGTTTGTTTAATGATGGTTTCGGAAAAAGTAGGAAAAAAATTGAGCACCAAGGTTTAAGTTTTGAGTTAGGTTTTATATAAATCCAATCTACTGAAATTTTATTAATAATGGATATGTGAAAAGGATATGTTTTCTTCTTTTTATAGTCTCCCTGCTAATTTACTCAAGCTAAGAGATTCTCTCCTTTTAAATGCTCAATTCGCTAAGTTAATTACTGATCACTTCAAATTCAAGAAATGGTTGTTCTGTCCATAGGAGACAAAGTAGGAAATTTTAATAGACACATAAATCAATTACATTGGATGTACATAGAAATACTATGTGCTTGGAGTTGTCTAATTGTTATGCTGAAATGAGTTATAGCTTTAGCATTTCAATAATTTACATAGTTGAATGAATTTTAGTAGACAATGACACTGTTGAGTTTGGTTTCTTTGTATAGCTAGTTCCTGCTTACCTATTCGTAAAGATTTCAGTTCTGCTCAATTGCTTTTTTTATTTATTTAAAGTAATTCTTCCTGCAGGCAGTAAATATTCATGGTTGCAAGACAATTCCATGCATCATGATGCTAGCATTGTCAGTGGATTGAGGCGGGGTCCAATATATTCAGTTTTTCCCACAAAACGTGCAGAAGTGTCTTCTGTACTGGACCTTTATGAATTCATATGCTCTGGTCCTCTAATGGATAAAGTGGGACTGACCCCAGAAAAGATTGCTGAGTCAATTGACAAGTGGTTGTTTTATGGGTCAAAGCTTTGTCGACTGTTCCAGCTCAATGAACTTTACCTTACTATTCCTCAGAAAGCAAGGTTTTATCACTACTACATACCAGTCTTTGAATGGTGTGAAGAACAGATATCACAGCACTCGTCCAAGTTTAAAGATGGGGAAGAGATACCTCCTTTAGTGGTATGGATAAATTTCTCAAATGATTTTCGTGTGTGTTTGTATTCTCTTTTCGTCTTCAAATTCAGTACTATTTGGGATTTCTTTCCATTAGCATATACTACAAGTTTCTTATTGCTGAAGGCCGGTGCAGTTGGTGCAAATTACTTGACTATTTTTTTGATCTTGTCGCACTTCTTTATGTGATGCAGATTGGTTTCAGTGCACCACAGGGTTGTGGAAAGACAACACTTGTCTTTGCTCTTGATTATCTTTTTAGGATCACTGGCAGGTAGCTAGAAGAGCAATGGAATTTAATAAATGGAAGTCATTCATATCTCATTTGACTCATTAATAATACAAATTCAGAAAGTGGAAACAACTGAAGTTACTGATATGAACCTTAATCGCAGGAAGTCTGCAACATTATCCATAGATGATTTCTATTTGACAGCAGAGGGTCAGGTAATAATTATGGACTTTTTGGAACTTGCTAAAGTTTCTTCAGTTTTTCTTTTATCATTTTATGACACAAGGTATACATTGATTATAGGCCAAATTGAGAGAAGAAAACCCTGGAAATGCACTTTTAGAGGTGGCTATTGATTTCTTTATCGATTTTTTATTTTCCAACTTAACAGAGCAGTGATTTGTTACTCACTCACCCAAGAACTCATAAGGTTTTTCTTTTCTTCTTTTAAATCTTCTTATTTCAGTTGCGTGGAAATGCTGGAAGCCACGATCTTCCATTCTCTGTTGAAACACTGACAGCTCTAAGCAATTTAACTAAAGAAGGTGTTCTTTTTCACTCATCTTTCCTTGGCATGGTTCTCTTTTTGTCCGTCTCTTTCTTTTGACTTTGTTTGAGTTATACAGGTATGAAGATGAAGCTTCCTCGATATGATAAAGTAAGCACAATATTAACAATTTTACTTGTTTTGCAGTCGACCTTTTTGTTCAATTTTGCTTATGAATAATGTTGTGTTTTCCAGTCTGCATATAATGGGAGGGGTGACAGAGCTGATCCTTCGGTATGGCCTGAAGTTGAAGGGCCCCTAACGGTAAGAGAATCTTCAGCTAGAGCTGGGGAAGGTTGGGTGCAATCTGTTTGGATTTAGATTGTTGAAAAAGGAAGACATCGTTTTAATCTAATGCTTTTTATTCCTTCTTCCCCCTTTCGTTTACTCATGTGATTTGGGTGGTCATTAGGTTGTTCTGTTTGAAGGCTGGATGCTTGGCTTCAAACCCCTTCCTACTGAAAATGTTAAAGATGTTGATCCACAGGTTAGATCCCTAGAGTCTGCAGGGGCACTTATGGATGTTACTGCTGCATGTTTAGTATTTATTTAGGTGCACATAGTAGAAAGGCTCCTATACTATGGTCATTTCTTCAACTAAACCTCTCACCTTTAATTGAACCTGAACAAGCCCATAAACTTTGATTTACATTTAAAAAAAGCCCTTAACTCTAACGAAAAATTAATTGTTGTTAAACCAATGCCAACGAGTATTTTATGTCCATGTGGCATATGATCTGACAAGCTGAGGTGACTACGTGGCAGTTGATGTGGTCTTATGGCAACTAATGTCGCCAAAGGGCTGACCACTTCAGCTGCCTTTGTAATAAGCCACGTCAACTGAAGTCAGCTGACATTAGTTGTGATGGCAATTAATTTTTCATTACGGTTAAGGGCTTGTTTGGATTTAAATAAAAGATTAAGGGCTCACTTGAGTACAATAAAATATTAAAGGCTTAGTTGAAATGACTATAATTCAAGAGCTGTTTTGCTATTTAAGCCATTTATTTGTTTGTCATTTTGATAAGAAAGCTATAGATCAAGCTGTTGTTGATTTTACAGCTGGAGATGGTAAATAAAAATCTTGAAGCATATTATAATGCATGGGACAAGTTCATTAAGGTATGGATTGTTATCAAAATTCAGGACCCAAGTTGTGTCTACCAATGGCGTCTGCAGGTTGGTTCTTATTTTTAAGTACTCTGGTCAACCTATAACCATACCCTGGGAACATCCTCTGTTCATGGAGTATTCTCATCATTACTGTTGTAAATGATTTTCGGCAGGCTGAGATTGCCATGAGGGAGGCAGGGAAACCTGGAATGTCTGATGAGGAGGTGCATATACACATTTGTTCTATAACGAATCACATTTAGCAAAGCATCCGTCATTTTTTTATCATTTTAAAAATTTCTGATTCGAAGTGTCTGGTAATATGCACAGGTGAAAGATTTTGTTTCAAGGTACCTGCCTGCATACAAAGCTTACCTTCCTACCCTATATTCTGAAGGACCAAGCGGATCAGATCCAAAGCGTCTTCTCCTAATTGAGATTGATGAAGGGAGGAATCCCATCCTATGTGACTAAATCAATTTTTTTTTTTGGTCGAATACAAGTTTCAAATCCAATTTTGGTTTCTTGGAGAAGATGTGTTGTGAGGTGTAATTACTTGTAAATTTTATCATCAATATTTTGCAATGTATTCATATTGTAAATGTAACATAGTACAGGTGTCTTCAATGAAATTAAGTTTGTGTCACAAATTCTGATAATTGTGACATGCATTTCAATCAAGAAATGTGGTGAAAATTCCCAACTCTATTCCCCACCCTATTTCCTACTCTTCTCTCTTCTCCCCAAACAAAACCCATTTAAAACGAAGAAAATTATCAGCGAAAATTAAATATTTGGAGTATATTATTATTATTATTATTATGCAGGCATTGACAAGGAACCAAAGAGCATGCATTGAAGATCACATCATCATTAACAATTTGCAAAGATGAAAGCAAAATAATAATGCAAACGAAGCAATATGAAGGCTAACAGATAAAAGCTAGTAGAGGATAAATTTGTTGGGGTGATTGCTTCTCTGAATTGATAGTTTCCATCAAGTAATTCTGGGACAGCAACAGCAGGTATTTTCCACGCAGCATTCGCATGCTTCATGGCAGCAACAGCAGCAACAAAGCGCAAACAAACTGCAACAAATTAACACAATCAAGTTGAAGTTTACAGGTGCAAAAAACACACCAAAAACAAACAAAAATAACGATATACAAACCAGGCATAGAGGAAGCCCTTGTCGTCATGGCCTTTTTTAACGTGATCGTAGTATGAAATCTGTTGCTGTGGTGGTGCATCCATTTTTCCCTCTTTGTATGACTATTAATTTCATACAAATTTGATGAACGTGATAAGAAAATAGTTCCCCGTTAAATTTTATAGGGGAAGGGATACCCTTAATGGTATCTCTTAAGAAAGGTTCCTTTGTCTGTCTGCCTTCATTAATTAGGGTGGTTAGAAGACAGTAGGAAAGAGGCTAGAGGCAACTCAACTCCATGCCTCTTCAACCACGAAAAAACCATGCTTGTTAAACCAGCCACATGGCAGCTTTTAATGTCTCGATAAAGCAGGAATCTGTAACGATCCTTCATTCATTTAATTTTGGCTACATTCTTGGGCTACTTCCTGAGACAACTTTCAACTAAATGTGATTAGTTAAAACTTTTCTGACCTGTCTGTTTTTACTTTCAATTCAGTTTTACTGGAGTTTACTCATTTCCTGCTTTAATAGCAAAACCCATTAAATTGTATCCACCTTTTCAGCCGGACAACTGTGAGCCACCGCTGATACAATAACTTGAAGTGCTAGTCATAAGCACATCAAGGCGGTGGTTCGAAGGCCAATAACTTGGGGATTAACCATCAGATTTAACTCTTAATTGAGCAATAGAGCCAGATCTGCAGTAAAAGTTAGCTGCCTGAAACTGTCTATGTAAGGGAGTTTTTACATTGTTTAAATTGTCTCATCCATCCATCTCAGTAAATTAACATCTGGTGAATGTTCGAGAAATTAGCAAGCTTTCTTGAAGCTTACCATTTTCTCAAGTTGAAAAGAGATCACAAGTTCTTGATTCACCTGAAAATATTTGGCTTCAAATGTATCCAATACATAGGAATCAATAACCTCTATCCTGATTTGAAGAATGGCCCACTGCCTCAAATCAAGCTGTCATTGATATGAATCAAACATTTTTCTGGTTGACAATGCCTCATTTTATGCTGGTACTTCACTTATGTTTGAAGAGAAGAGCTCACCACAAATAAAAGCAACCAAAATTCAGATAAGATTTTGGAACCCATCCAACCATAGGACCGAAAGGGTCGTCAGTCAGGTCAACGTGAAACTTGGGTTGATTAAATTCTTCCAAAAAAAGAGAGGGGGATTTCAAGACTTTTGACCATGATGCTTTATTTCATTATGGAAACTATGCAATATGAAGATTTTTGTTTCTCATTTTTCCTTTTTTGAGGTGGTCATGATGAGGCATGCAGGTGCTGCCTATAACTAAGATGGCAAAGGCACACATACACACACAACTGTATCTGCTTGTTGGTCTAACTGATAAGCTCCTCGGGCCAGCTATCTCAACCACCTAACATTCATATATATAACCTGGAGGTCACATCAACTTCTCATTTCTGCTCGTCACACCCCCGGTCCCAGCCCGCACCTTCAAAACCATCCAATGTCTGAACCGACCCTCTTCCCTCTTCATCACCCAAAACTGTGTGTCATAGCTATGGTTGTCTCTAATAACATACGTGAAAATGGTAAGGAACCTAATACGACCCCTGAATGATTAGAATCACTGAATCACTAGGCTTCCAGCGGATACCGCAAAATCCTTTGTATTGCTTCATCTGGTGAGAATGCTTGAGAAGGGGAATCAGCTGAATTTCAAGAACCATTTTATATATATTAAACTTAAATCTTCAAAAAAAAATAGTATTAATTATTTTTTTATAAATACGCTTTAAAAAATGCCTATAGATATTTTTTAGAGTAAAATACCCTTACCTCTCTAACTTTTAAGCATAATTTCACAAAAGTCCATTAGTATTAGAAATGGATAGTCCGCCTCAGAAGTCTAAACGCCGTTAACAGGAACTACAAAAGGTCAAAATTGCCCACTTATAAAAATATCTTAATTAGGTGTTAAAGCTTACTAATCACTATAGTCCCTTTCTCTCCTCGTTTTTTGTTTCTCTCCCTGTTCCATCTTTCTCTCCTTGGTTCTCTCACCAACAACTACATCACTGGTCGATTAGGATTCTTTTTAGCCTTCTATTGATTAGCAACTTCATCCCACATCAAAATAACCCAAAATCAAACCTTTGTTTAGAACCCTTTAAACCGTGACCCAAATCGAGAGAGTGAAGGATTGTTAAGATTCAGTAATTGTCAAAACTAGTACGGTTTGCTGTTATGTCATGGTTAGTTTTAGGTTTAGGGATCTTGTTTTTGTTGTTGTGGTCTTCATGTGAGGGAACAGGTTTTGTCATTTAAAGTTGTTTCTAGCTGATGTGGTCTTCATGTAAGGGAATGGATTTTGTGGTCTAAGGTTCCTTGTCTATTGTTGATGTGGTGAGGGTTTCGGTACAAGTTTGGGTTAAGGGTTAAGTTGTAAACTAGACCTAGAACCTTCAAATTGAAAATTGGGGAATTAGGGTTAAGGATTTGAAAATTGGGGAATTAAGGATAGTTGTTTGGGTTTGGGTTCAAGTTGCTCAACCCAAACAACTAATTCTAAATTCCCAATTTCTAGATCCCTAACCTTAATTTCCCAATTTCTATATCCTTAACCCTAATTCCCCAATTTTCGACACCCTGACCCTAATTTCCCAATGTAAGATTTTAAGATTAGGGTTTTGAAATTGGGGATTTAGGAATGTTGTTTGGGTTAAGGTAACCAACCTAAACCAAAAAAAAAATGGAAGATGCTTTCAACTCCTTAACCTTTCCCCCTTTCCCAACCTTCATGGTTTGGCTACTGGACGGCCGTCGGACCCCTAAACAACCTTTCATTGACTGCTGCACCCTCCTCAAGATAACTTGTGACTACCCACTACAACCCAACAACACAAAATTTCTAGTTGCCATCTGTATGTGGTTTGTTGCATACCACACAACCTACCAAACTACCCCCTGTGTCTCCCAGAATGCCAAAAAAATCCTTTCTGTGTGTTGCAGCAGGAGAGAAACCTTTTTTGATCCTACTTATCTGAGAATCGATATGGTATAAAGGTCAACCTACTGTAACATTTTATGATGATGAGATAGTAATTTTAGCACAACCTTTCAAGCACTCTATTATTTGGAAATTTTCTAAAACGCTCAGACTGCAAAAGATCCGATCAGCATTTAAAGGGATAAGTTTGATTGGATCATATGAGATCGGATGGTTAAATTATAAGCATTTTTTGATATACCTATCAAATGAACATGATTTTAATCGTATTTAGATTAAACAAGTATGGTTCATTGCCAATCAAAAGATGCGAGTTTTTAAATGGTCTATAAATTTCCAAGCGAGAAGGAATCATCCATTGTTCCAATTTGGATTCATTTTCCAAACTTGAAGGCTCATTTGTTTGAAAAATTGGCTCTTTTCTCAATTGCAAAGGCTATGGGTAAGCTTCTTTTTGTTGATAAGGCCACTACTAATGGTACCAGGCCGAATGTGGCTCGAGTCTACATTGAATATGAGTACCAGAAACCTCTCGTAGATCAGATCTAGATTGTTAGTAAAAAGAGAGAAACTAAAACCATTATGGGTGGTTTTTCACAGAAAGTTGAGTTCTCAAAATTACCAGCATATTGCACTCATTGCTGGCATGTAGGGCATAACATTTCAACGTGTTTGGAATAGGGAAATAAATGTGAAAAGCCTAGATCTGGAGAACAACAAGCAGTAGGGTCGAGAAGACAAAAGAATACTGCTGATGGTTTTTTGAGGAAGCATGGGGAGACAGATGAAGTAGAAGTAGAAAAAAGAAAAAAATTGAGCTGAGAAGAACCATTGAAATGAAGTAAGCAAGTGTAGGTAATAGGGGATTCAGGCATAGTAGATATAGAAAACCAAAAAATCTGAGCTGAGAGGAATCGGAACAGAGTAAACAATGGCAAGTTGTAAGAGATCTAGGTAAGAGTGGAACTAAGAATTTTAATGGAGTTGAAATCGGCATAGAAGTGGCTAAGCATACACAGGTAAGGATCTCTAATTGTTTTGATGGGATCTGAACGGCAGAGGAGGACAGACAAGAAAATCATGCAAAAGAGGGGCAAACAGAATTGGTGAATAGTGCTTTTCAAGTCGTTACCCATAGTAAGAGCTCGCCTCACAGCCAACAAACTAGAAATTCGAACGACGAGATCTCGATTCATGGTGTGACAATTTTAGTAAAGGACCAATTGGTTGTGGTTGAGAAAGTGGTAGCACTCGTTAATGATGGAGGGTTACGATGAAGTCTACACAACCATGGATGAAAGAAAGTTTAAGGGATAATCCAAATACTTAAGCAAGTGTTGGAAATATAGGAGAACATGATTACATTCAATGGGCTGTCGACAATGACATCAATGTTATGATCTGAAAAGGAAAAAAATAAGAAAAAGACAGTCGAAAAATCGGCAATCAATATCGATAACACGAGACGGTGGTGATTTGTCACAGTTACTAGATGTGAAAAGGCCCTCGGAAAGAAAACAACAGATAGTGGAGGGATATGGAGAAAACATGCCA